CCCCACCCCATTACCTACCACATTGAATGTGGTGACTTTCATGATTCTCCCTCAGTACTTTTATTAATAATAATTAAAATATATACTTACTTTATAAGCATATAATCATGATTGGGAATTTGGAATGTACTTCACCTTTTGATTATTAAGTCGTTTAAACTAATCTTTCATATTTAAAAATTGTATGAAAATTCTATATCTAGTAATTTTTCGCATATCAATATGATTCAAAAATATATTTTAAATGTCAAATTAAAATTTATGTAATTTAATTTTTAAAAAATAAAATACAATAAATAAAAACGAACAGAGAAAATAAAACACACGGGGTGTCCTTGCCTATAGAATGAGAGTTCAATGAATCAAGTCAGTTTGTTTCTTTTCCAAATTATGTAAACCCTCCATCGTTAATAAGATTAGCTATAACAGTTAATTGAGAAACACATAATTTATTTATTCTTTTTTTTTCATTTAAAAGTATATATGATTGGTTTAGGTTCTAATCAAATTTTGAACGTATCAATTTCAGAATTTGTATTCCCCTTTGAAATAATTACTGTCTAGTTTATTTTTATTTTTTTGAAAAGAATACATTAAAAAGTCCTAGTTTGACAATAAACCTAGGACCACCATATTATTATTATAATAAAATGGAAATCCACCTATACCTTGAGAAACATTTCTTTATATTCTTCTCGTGGACCTTTAATTTCCGAATTTTTAACCAAATTAAGCCATTATATAAAACAATTTATCAAAGTAATATATTTTTTTAAAATTTTACAAAACTTGTATAAACGTATTTCATGGTAACATTTTAGGATATATTTTTTTTAAAAAAAAATTAATAGCACTAGGTTGATATACGTTACTGTAAGAAACGTTTTACTCCTAAAACGTTATTTTCAGTAACGTTTTAGGAGTAAAACGTTACTATGAGTAACGTATATCAATCTGACGCCATCAACTTTTAAAAAATAAAATATAACCTAAAATGTTACTGTGGAATACGTTTATACTAGTTTTGTAAAATTTTAGAAAAATATATTATTTTGGTGAATGACTTTATATAATTGCTTAGTTTGGTTAAAACCTCTTAATATCCCCATAAACCCACCCAAAAGGAAAACTTGGAATTCTTTTTTTATAATTATATTTTAGGAGAAAAAAAAAGTCCTCCATTGTATGTTTTTGGACTTTGTATGGTGAGATCTGAAATATAAGTCATTTTCAGTCTTCCGTAGCCTCTTTTACATTTTATTCCTTTCAAACTCTAGCTACTACAAGCTTCTCTTTTCTTCTTCAGTTCAAACGACTAAATTTGACAATTTAAATTTTTTAAGTCAAACACAACTTATTTTAAACACAATCCTTCATTCATTAATGTCATTATTAAACATTGTTAAATCAGGAAAAAGGTTGTAGTATCATGTATAAGATCCATTTATATATATATATATATATATATATATATATATATATATATA